GCTACGTTCACCGCAAGCATGCTTTAAGGGTTCGCATTAGGAAGGACACTCTGTCCATATAACTCGGGTCTACGGCAACGTCTGCAGCAGCGTCTTCATGATGTAACCCGTCTCTTCGGGGTTGGAGACCCACACGGTCGACGCGACGTCGCGCGAGCGCGTGTCGTTGCCTACGCACGCCACGTCATGAGTTCCCACTCGTCGCATAGCGCGTCTACCGGTGCGCGTAAAGCGGTCGCCGACATGGAGGCATTCGTGGCCGGCCAGCAACGTCTAGCACTTATTGTAAGGTGCAGGTGCAAGGTCGGTACTAGTACCTGCGGCGTCGGGAGGCGGTCGCCCACAAACGCCTGCAGCGCTGAGATACCGAGCGCCTTGTTGCCAATGTCGACAAAGACGTCGTTGCCGCCGTTGAACGCGCAGTGCGGGATCGAGTGGTCCTTGAGTGCGTGCTGCACGGTGAGCGCGATTTCCTCGAGCGTCTCGTAGCAGAGCCGCTTGGTCGTCGACGTGTTGTAGATGCCAATCGCGCGCTCCTTGCGAAGGACTGCCGCCGTGAGCTGAAACGTATCGACCATTTCGATCAGCACTTTCTACGCAGTTGAATGTCAAGATTGAGATTGAGATTCGAGGTGGAGATAGAAGACAACCTCGGCAACATCGAGGAGCTGGTCGACTTCGGCCTGGTCCCAGCGCTCGCCCCGACCGTCCTTCCACTCGCGGCCGGGCACAACGCGCAGCGAGACCTTGCCAGTCGTCGCGCAAGTCTCGGTCACATGGAGGTAGTTGCACTCGCCGCCCATGACCTACGGAGGCGCTAAGCCTGGTAGCGTCGAGAATCGTCGTGTACATGGAAGCGCGAGCGCTCGGCCGGCGTGAGGCCTGCGAGCACTTCGAGGATCTAGTGGTGTACGTAGCATGACGCAAGGTGCATGGGAGTTGCAAGGACGTACGCCGTGCAGACGCGCTTCGTACCGCGCGGGCTCGTTCGGGTACCCGGCTGCCGTGACGAGTGAGACCACGATGCCCTTTTGCAAGAGGCCGACAATGACCTGCACCATCTCGGACGAGGCGCTAGCACAAGTATAAGAAGGCGCTTCGCAAAGAAGATGACGTTTGTGTACCTAATGGTGCCGCCGTCTTCGTAGATGGTATCGTCGGCGTCGAACGTCACCATCTTGAGCGTCGGCGCAATCGCGTGGATCTACGAGCCGTGGCATCATGCGTCCTCATGCAAGCCTGTGGTAGGCGTACGGTCGCGAGGTTGAGAATGTGGCGGACTTCCTTGAACGTCGGTGCGACGCGCTTGCGCTTGGAGAAGTGCGTCGACTCGTCGTACATGTGGACCGCGTCCATGAGCTTCATGGGCGCAAAGATGCGCCGGACCTTGGGGATGTACTTGCGGAGGCGGCTGCCGTGCGGCTCGAGCACGTGCTCGTTGATCATCTCTTCAACGAGCGTGAAGACCTCCATGATGGTGAGCTGGAGGCCAGCCGACTCGTCGATCGGCGCCATGATCCATTCGCGGATGAGCTCAATGAGCGGGTCTTCTTCCTTCAACATCGTGGCTCTTCGTCGCCACTTGCGCAGTGTGAGCGGCACAGTATTTCCCGTCGATAATATGCAACTCACAGGGCAAGCTCCATACAATCATTAGTATAATAAAATAGTACATGCCGTACTTGTTCAGGTTATAGTGTAACACGTATTGGCACGGATATAGTGTGTTGTGGTATACAAACAACCAGTCCAGTGCAAGGCTAACCCCACGCAACGCAACCTCGGCGGCGGCGTCTGTCCACGCACCGGCGCGGGTCCATGCCGCATGTACCGTCATGGCCTCTGTGAACGGTTCTGGTTGCGTGAAAAACACGACCGGCGACGCGTGAAAGGCGCGAGGGCTCGGCGACGTCGCTTGCCAAGGCGGCGATACCTTTGGCGAATGGCCTATTTAAGGGGCGTGTAATTAGCTGGTCGTAGCAAAGGCAATCGACCAATGAACTTGTCGAATCGTCACGAAGGTCAGCATGCTGCTCCGAGCGACGCGGTTTGCGCGCGCCACGCGGCGCCTCTCGACGACCGTGGACGCGTACGCGGTCGGGTCGACGACGCATGGCTTCAAGGTGGTGCGCAAGGAAGCGATTCCCGAGTACTCGATCACCGCGATCCAGCTCCAGCACGAAGCGACCAAGGCCGACTACTTGCACATTGACAGCGTCGACAGCAACAACGTCTTTAGGTGCGTCCAGCGCGCGACGCATTGACTCTCAGCTTGCATCATGTAGCGTCAACTTTCGCACGCCGCCGACGTCGTCGAATGGCATTGCGCACATTGTACATCCGCTCGGTCGAGCCCATGGATTCGCTCATGTCGATGGCGTAGCTCGAGCACCTCGTGCTCTGTGGCTCCAAGCAGTACCCGGTCCGCGACCCGTTCTTCAACATGCTCAAGCGCAGTCTCAACAACTTTATGAACGCGATGACCGGCGCCGACCACACCATGTACCCGTTCGCAACGACCAACCGCACGGATTTCGACAACCTCCTCCGTGTCTACTTGGACGCAACCTTTTTTCCGCGGCTGCGCGAATTGGACTTTCTTCAGGAAGGCCACCGTCTCGCGCTCGACGAGACGACGGGCCACCTGCAGTACAAGGTACGACGACGTACTAGGGAGCACGCTGTTGAAAATGACAACATTAGGGTGTCGTCTTCAACGAGATGAAGGGCACGCTCTCGGACAGCGACACGCTCTTTGCGACGCGTTTGCAGCAGCATGTGATGCCGACGGACAGCGTCTATGCTCACGTGAGCGGCGGCGACCCGACTGTCATTCCGTCGCTGTCGCATGACGAGCTCAAGGCCTTCCATGCGACGCACTACCACCCGTCGAATGCCCTCTTCTACTCGTACGGTAACTTTGCGTTGTCGGAGCATCTCGCCTACATCAACGACAACGTCCTCTCGCAATTTGAAGCGGCGAAGGCCGTTAAGATTGCGCCGTCGGTAGTCGTGCCACCGCGCGTGGCCGCGCCGCTTGTGGAGCTGGAAGGGCCGGACGATGGCGTGAGCGGCGACGCCGCCGCGCAGACCAAGTGGGTCCAAGCCCACGTGCTGCC